GAAGGAAGGCGGGGTAGGGGTCGGCCTAGGAAAGGTTGGAGAGAGGGGGTAAAGGAGGTTTTGTGTGCGAGGGGCTTGGACTTCCAGCAGGCATGCGTGAGCGTGTTTGATAGGAGTGAATGGAGACAAATGGTTTTTAATACTTGACGTGCTGTTGGAGTATGAGCAAAGTAACATTTATGAAGGGGTTCAGGGAAACCGGCAGGCCGGACTTGAGTCCTGGAGATGGGAAGTACAGTGCCTGCACTCTGAAGGAGGGGTGTTAATGTTGCAGTTTAAAAACTGTAGTGTAAAGCACCCTTCTGGCAAGACAGTGATGGAGTGAATGATGGTGAAAGTTTTTCTTTTTCGGGCCACCCTGCCTTGGTGGGAATCGGCCAGTGTGATAATAATAATAATAATGATTATGGCATACAAAACACTCTTCTTGGGTATGGATAAGGTTAGATAAATGAATATCGAGAGGCATTTCTTCAGTTTAATAGTACAGTTAAGAAACTGAATGAACCAAGCAATGTAATAATGGTGGCTGCAGTGGATGTCATACACAAATTAGAGAGATATTTCACTTTAGTTGGCAATGAGCTGAGAGGCAGGATCATAAGTGTGAGATTTTTTAGTTTAATATGTTTATTATGCACCCCATACCCATCCTGTGGGCGGTAGTCAAAAGATTACAGAGGTACATAATTGGTCCAGGGACTGGACTCCAAAGTTTTGATAGCTGAGCAAGTTACAGAGGTAATGAACTAGACCTGGTTACAATCATGACCAAGTTACAAAGATAATGAGCTCCAGGTAGAGCTGGTCACTCATGACAAGTTACAAAGGTAATGAACTAGATTGGTCACAATCATGACAAGTTATAAAGGTAATGAGCTCCAGGTAGAATTGGTCACTCATGACAAGTTACAAAGGTAATGAACTAGATTGGTCACAATCATGACAAGTTATAAGGTAATGAGCTCCAGGAAGAGCTGGTCACAATCATGACAAGTTACAAAGGTAATGAATCATAAACACGCCCATACATGGTTACGATTCATTACCTTTGTAACTTGTCATGATTGTGACCAGCTCTTCCTGGAGCTCATTACCTTATAACTTGTCATGATTGTGACCAATCTAGATCATTACCTTTGTAACTTGTCTTGATCTAGGGAATTGGATCTGTGCTCCGATTTCCTGAATTGAGTCTGAATACCTTCCATCCCCCCCCCCTATATGCGCTGTATAATCCTACGGGTTTAACGCTCCCCCATGATTATAATTATGTCTGACTTAAGTCAGGTTTTCGGCCTTTGCCCACCAAACCTATATTTAGTCAGCACTCTTCTTTGTACTTCTCCAAACTTCATAACTTCATAATAAGTGTGAGATCATCCCCCACAAACTCAACTATATATAATAATCCCCCATTATCCCCCCCCCACAGGAAACTGGTACTAAAGCTAGAGAAACAGGCAGGAATGAAGGAAAGAACTATTATTAACCAAGGCATACCTGACAAGAAAGAAACGACAGGTGATTATCCATGAAGAGATGCCGGAATGGGTGAATGTCACAAGTGGGGTTCTATAAGGGTCATTACTGGGACCAGTGCTATTTTTTTTTTTTTTTGTATAAGTGAATGACACGATGGAAGGGATACAGTTTGGAGTATCCTTGATCATATATGATGTGAAAGTAATAAGAATACAAGTAGACGTGGACCAGAAAAGACTACAAAAGGATTTGAATAGGTTGCAAGTCTGGTCTGACAAGTGGCTACTGGAGTTTAACCCAGCAAGTGCAAAGTTATGAAGTTTGGAGAAGGACAAAGAAGAGTGCTGACTAAATATAGGTTTGGTGGGCAAAGGCCGAAAACCTGACTTAAGTCAGACATAATTATAATCATGGGGGAGCGTTAAACCCGTAGGATTATACAGCGCATATAGGGGGGGGGGGGATGGAAGGTATTCAGACTCAATTCAGGAAATCGGAGCACAGATCCAATTCCCTAGATCAAGAGCCCCTCACCAGCTTCAAGGAACCTCCCTTGAGGGGTCAAGTCAGACAGAAAAGTCCTAAGTCTCACTCTCCGACGTGCAGGTTATTTGTGTATTGTTCCAATTACAGTATTGTGCCTTTTTATTCTTGGTACACATCAACCAAGTGACTGCTGCAGCAAATGTGCCTCTGGCAAATCTAAGACCAGATTTTAGTCATGTAACTAAGGAATCATCACTACAATGTATACTGTGTACATCAGGAGTGTACATTGGAGTGTGCAGCACCAGTAAGCAACCCACGCCTAGTCAAACGTGTCTAAAATTTGGAGAAAATGCAGAGCTTTGCAACAAGACTAGTCCGAGAGTTAAGGGCTATGTCCTATGAGGAGAGGTTAAGGGAACTCAGCCAGATGACACTTGAGGACAGGACTAAGGAGTGACATGATAATGTAAAAAATACTGAGGAATTGATAGGGTGAACAGGGACAGATTGTTTGAGAGATGGGAAACAGAAACACGATGAAAAACCCAGAAGAGCCACAGGGTCGTTTGTATTTCTTCAGCCTTAGAGTAGTCAGGAAGTGGAATAATCTGAATAATGAAGTGGTAAAAGCAGAATCTATACATAGTTTTAAGATGTACGATTAGGTTCTTGAAGCCAAGAGAGTGAACCTAATTGCAACCAACAATGAAGCAGAGCCAGGAGCCGAGACTCGACCCTGCAACAACATGTAACTTAATGTACACACACATAGGTGAATTAGGTGCGTACACACTGTGACACGACCCCTGCAACCGCATATTGGTCAGAACAAACATGCACTGAACAATACTCAAGTCATAAGTTTGCCTATGATACTCCAATATAGACACTTTGTATTGTGCCAAAACAAAAGCATTCACATTGCTAAACTCACAAATTATGATGTAGTCACTTAGCCTTAATACCATAATCTGTAAGGATTTAACCCCTCAAGGAAGGTTCCTTGATGTTGGTGAGGGGCTCTTGATTTAGGGAATTGAATCTGTGCTCCAGTTCCCCGAATTAAGCCTGAATGCCTTCCACATCCTCCCCAGGCGCTGTATAATCCACCGGGTTTAGCGCTTCTCCCTTGATTATAATAATAATAATGTAAGGATTTAATGTTAAGAATTAATCTAAGTCTGCTGGAAATGCCTAGCCATGCTAGGTGTCCTAGTGCCCCCTCTGTAATTAGTATTTTATAACATGTAGACCACACAATACCCAAAACCTGTAAACCCCACATTGTAACCCTTATAGAGAATAAACTTGAATTGAATTGAATGGGGCCCAGTCCCTGGACCCATTATGTACCTCTGTAATCTTTTGACTACCGCCCACATTATTATTATTATAATCAAAAAAGAAGCGCTAAGCCACAAGGACTATACAGCCCTACCGCCCACAGGATGGGTATGGGGTGCATAATAAAGATATTAAACTAGCTAACAATACACAATGTTTATTTCCAAGAAGAAATGTTTGTCACAAAGGAAGGTTAATAGTGTTTTATTTCTACATAGAAAAGCCCACATGGGGAACACTAAACCTATAGGAGTCACAGCACCTGAGGGACTGGAAGGCATTCAGGCTTAACCCAAGGATTAAGTAAGTTTATTTAGGCACGGGTACACATACATACAATTATCATACATGATGTAAATTACCTAGAATAACCCAGGGCAGGTCCAATCCCTTGGATCAAGAGCCCCCACCGACACGAAAGACCATCCCTTGAGAGTGGAAAAGTCCATACTTATGCAATACATTTTAGGCATGTATGGAATACACTGAAGCATACATGTATATGCAGAAAATTTTCCACTACTTTTCCACGCATCATTAATATTTCCTTATCTTCATTGTTATATTTAGGTATCCCTGAAAGGAATAACGAAGTTGCCATTTCTTGCTTGATTACTATTATTAATTAGGAGGAAACACTAAATCCAAGGGGATGTTATGTAGCGCCTGGGGAAATGAGGCTCGAGCTAATTAAGGTGGGCAAGGGAGTTCAATTCCTTGGAATAAGGGCCCTTCACCAGAATCAAGGAACCTGCCCTGGGGAATGTACAACCTGAGAAAGCTTCATTACACAGGCTTCCGATTTTCAACAGTGATATCTTTGAAGTAGGGAAAAGGATCATGCAACTACTGATATGTGCAGGTGTCCTCTGGTCATTAATTGACCATTCCCAGTTGTGGTTTCAGTAACGTAAGACAGCTTCTTCTGATCGTCTTCAAACCTTCAAAACTGGTATATTCTTCCTAAAAAGATGGCACTATTCATGGGAAGCGTTAGGCTAACATCTTCGTTATGCACAACCATACCCATCCTGTGGGCGGTAGCCAAAAGATTACATACAGAGGTACATAATGGGTCCAGGGACTGGGCCCCAAAGTTGGGGACGTAGGTGCGAATTTGCTGATTATATTTTACAATCCTGTTGTGTGGTAAACTTTTCTGTGAATTATCTCAAGTTTACCTCATCTGAAGGAAACCTTCCATGTTTAATGGTTAATACAGCTTATGAGGATTGGAGGCTCTTGATCCAAAGTATCGGACCTGTCCTGGGTTATCCTACGTAATTTATGCAATATATGATAACTGAACTTAACTGTTGGTATAAATTTGCTAATTTGTTAACCTTGTTAAAAATGTGGAATTGTTGGATTGTGTGTGGTAACTTAACATAGTCAAAAGAAAAGGGAATCGTTGAATTCTGTGCTGTAACTTAAAGAGATATACCCGACGTTTCCACTAGAGCTGGGATCGAACCCAGGTCCTTCAGATGTGAGATGAAGATGCTACCACTTGAGGGAGCTAAGGAGGGAATGAGGGGAAAGAGGGAGATAGAGAAGAAGGGCATAGGAGAAAAACGGAGAGGGAAGTAAAAGAAAGAAGGAAGGTAAGGAGGGAGGGAGGGAAGTGGCAGGCAAAAAAGAAAATACAAGACGGAAAGGAGCAAAGAATGTAAACCACTAACCTGTAGGGTAGAGCAGGACTGGGGTTGCTCGCCATCTTGGTGTGTTTACATCAGCCAGAGGTGAGTCCTCATCGACCGCACCTCGTCAGGATGCCGGCACTCACCACCAGTGTGGGGGCCACCCAGCACCTCTACACCAGCCTGCACATGCCATGTAGGCCAAGGTGCACATGTGAGACAAGGTGCACATGTCACGTGAGCCAATGTGTATACATCTCGTGGGCCAAGGTGCACACGTGGGCTAAGTACCACGTCATGTGTATATCTGAAAAGTGTTCTGGGGGTCAACGCCCCCGCGGCCTGGTCTGTGACCAGGCCTCATGGTGGATCAGGGCCTGATCAACCAGGCTATTACTGCTGGCTGCACACTATCCAACGTATGAACCACAGCCTTGCTGGTCAGGTACTGACATTAGGTGCTTGTCCGGCTCCCTCTTGAAGACAGGGAGGGGTCTATTGGTATTTTCCCTTATGTATGCTGGGAGGCAGTTGAACAGTCTTGGGCCCCTGACTTTATTGTGTTGTCTCTTGATGTACTCGTGGCGCCCTTGCTTGTCAATGACGAGAGGTTGCACCGCCTGCCGAGTCTTTTGCTTACATAGGGAATGATTTTCATGTGCAGATTTGGGACTAGTGTATATTATGATGCATCTTTCTCTCACTCTTCAGTACAGGAAAGACAGTGCTATAACTCATATTGCCAGGCACACCATCTAAAGGGGACAAAAAGATACAAAACACCCAGACCATGGAAGGCGCTAGTGTGGGTGTATGATCCACTTAATATTTGTATTTATAACTCATTACAATTGTGACCAGGTGTGGACGTATCAGTGGTTCATTACTTTGTAATTTGTTCATGACTGTAACCATGTATAGGAGTGAAGCTGATTCATTACCTCTGTAACTTGCCATGATTGTGACCAGATCTACCTGGAGTTCATTACCTTTGTAACTAGTTCAGCTATCATAACTTTGGGGCCCAGTCCCTGGACCCATTATGTACCTTTGTAATCTTTTGACTACCGCCCACAGGATGGGTATGGGGTGCATAAAGATATTAAACTAATGTGTGTGTGTGTGTGTGTGTGTGTGTGTGTGTGTGTGTGTGTGTGTGTGTGTGTGTGTGTGTGTGTGTGTGTGTGTGTGTGTGTGTGTGTATGTGTGTGTATATGTGTGTATGTGTGTGTGTCAGTGTGTGTGTCAGTGTACTCACCTAATTGTACTCACCTAATTGTGGTTGCAGGGGTCGAGACTCAGCTCCTGGCCCCGCCTCTTCACTGATCGCTACTGGATCCTCTCTCTCTCTGCTTCCTGAGCTTTGTCATACCTCTTCTTAAAACTATGTATGGTTCCTGCCTCCACTACTTCACTTGCTAGGCTATTCCACTTGCTGACAACTCTATGACTGAAGAAATACTTCCTAACGTCCCTGTGACTCGTCTGAGTCTTCAGCTTCCAGTTGTGACCCCTTGTCCCTGTGCCCCCTCTCTGGAACATCCTATCTCTGTCCACCTTGTCTATTCCCGCAGTATCTTGTATGTCGTTATCATGTCTCCCCTGACCCTTTGTCCTCCAGTGTCGTCAGTCCGATTTCCCTTAACCTTTCCTCGTACGACATTCCCTTGAGCTCTGGGACTAGCCTTGTTGCAAACCTTTGTACTTTCTCTAATTCTTGACGTGCTTGCCCGGGTTGGGGGTTTTCCAGACTGGTGCTGCATACTCCAGTAGGGCCAAAACATACACAGTGTCCCAGTGTCTTGAACGATTCCTTATTAAGGTATCAGAACACTATTCTCAGGTTTGCCAGGCGCCCGTATGCTGCAGCGGTTATTTGGTTGATGTGTTCCTCCGGTGATGTGCTCGGTGTTATGGTCACCCCAAGGTCCTTCTCCCTGAGTGAGGTCTGTAGTCTTTGTCCACCTAGCCTATACTCTGTCTGCGGTCTTCTTTGCCCCTCCCCAATCTTCATGACTTTGCATTTGGCTGGATTGAATTCGAGAAGCCAGTTACTGGAAAACATGTCCAGCCTCTCCAGGTCTCTTTGCAGTCCTGCCTCATCCTCGTCCGATTTAATTCTTCTCATCAACTTCACGTCATCTGCGAACAGAGACACTTCAGAGTCTATTCCTTCCATCATTTTTGTAGATGAATGGTTCAGAGAACCGACATGTTGATAAATTAGACACATGTGCAACTCTTGGGTATCTTTATCGAGGAAACGTTTCGCCACACAGTGGCTTCATCAGTCCATACGTAGGAGAAACTTGAAGAACAGGAGGAGAATGAGGTAATCAGTCCCTCAACCTTGATTCAAATTCAAAGTTTATTCTCTATAAGGATTACAATGCTGAGTTTACAGAAATTTGGTTATTGTTTGGTTTACATGTAGTAAAATTGTGATTACAGAGTGTACCACTAGAACGCTTAGCATGGCTAGGCATTTCGGGCATACTTAGTTTTATTCTTAATTGTAAAATATTACAAATTATGAGGTAAGTTGGTATTATGGCTAAGTGACTAATTACTAGTTTGTGAGTTTAGCAATGTGAATGCTTTTGTTTTGGCACAGTATATAGTTTCAGTATTGGAGTATCACAGGATTCATTATTTTAAGACTGAGATTAATATTTCTGTTTATGGTCAAATGAGTGAGCGAGTGTAAGTGTGAACCACCAGGTGGTATTCGTGTAGTTAGTTCAAGTATAGTTCAAGTGTAGTTCTTCAAGTTTCTCCTACGTATGGACTGATGAAGCCACTGTGTGGCGAAACGTTTCCTCGATAAAGATACCCAAGAGTTGCACATGTGTCTAATTTATCAACATGTCGGTTCTCTGAACCATTCATCTACAAATCTGTCAGACACTGCAACTTCTTGGGATCTTAATACTTAGGAATTCTTCGCTTGCCTAATTCTTGGGCACGACCTACTTCCACATTGAACAAATGTGACACGACCTATGACTGCTGCACCTCTCCTGCCATACGGTTTATAAGCCGCTTCTCCGCTGATATGCCGTATTCTATTCAAGATTGATGGACTGAACACATCGACTCAAGGTTGAGGGACTGATTACCTCATTCTCCTCCTGTTCTTCAAGTTTCTCCTACGTATGGACTGATGAAGCCACTGTGTGGCGAAACGTTTCCTCGATAAAGATACCCAAGAGTTGCACATGTGTCTAATTTATCAACATGTCGGTTCTCTGAACCATTCATCTACAAATCTGTCAGACACTGCAACTTCTTGGGATCTTAATACTTAGGAATTCTTCGCTTGCCTAATTCTTGGGCATGACCTACTTCCACATTGAACAAATGTGACACGACCTATGACTGCTGCACCTCCTCCTGCATACGGTTTATAAGCCGCTTCTCCGCTGATATGCCGTATTCTATTCAAGATTGATGGACTGAACACATCGACTCAAGGTTGAGGGACTGATTACCTCATTCTCCTCCTGTTCTTCAAGTTTCTCCTACGTATGGACTGATGAAGCCACTGTGTGGCGAAACGTTTCCTCGATAAAGATACCCAAGAGTTGCACATGTGTCTAATTTATCAACATGTCGGTTCTCTGAACCATTCATCTACAAATCTGTCAGACACTGCAACTTCTTGGGATCTTAATACTTAGGAATTCTTCGCTTGCCTAATTCTTGGGCACGACCTACTTCCACATTGAACAAATGTGACACGACCTATGACTGCTGCACCTCTCCTGCCATACGGTTTATAAGCCGCTTCTCTGCTGATATGCCGTATTCTATTAAAAAAAGTCCTTCCATCATGTCGTTCACATATATCAAAAATAGCACTGGTCCTAGAACTGACCCCTGTGGGACCCCGCTCGTAACAGGCGCCCACTGTGATACCTCTTCATGTACCATGACTCGTTGCTGCCTCCCTGTCAGGTATTCCCTTATCCATTGCAGTGCCCTTCCTTTTACGTGTGCCTGATCCTCCAGCTTCTGCACTAATCTCTTGTGGGGAACTGTGTCAAAGGCCTTCCTGTAGTCTAGGAAAACGCAATCTACCCACCCCTCTCTCTCGTGTCTTACTTCTGTTACCTTGTCATAAAACTCCAGGAGGTTTGTGATACAAGATTTGCCTTCCATGAACCCATGCTGGTTTTCATTTATAATCTTGTTCCTTTCCAGGTGTTCGACCACATCTCCTCCTGAAATCTTCTCCATGACTTTGCACACAATTTCATGTCAGGAGACACAGGGCTGTAGTTTTG